AATAGTAAACGAATCGATAAACCGTTGACTTTTGATATCTAGTATTGAAAACAAGAAGTATATGGACTGAACTTCTTTGCGATTTTCCAGAGCTAACACTATATCCACAAAAGTCTTAAAATCCTAATAAAGAAAATATCATTTAAAGTATTGTTTGCAAAAAAATATTGTAAATGTCTTACAATTTCCCTGTCATATGTGATACAGACATCAAATACTCTTTCAATGAAAAGGTTCGTTAGATTTCCATATCTATTCAAATATAAATAAATTAGTTATTTGTATCGCAAAGAAAATAATAATCTGTATATTGTTAGGAATGCATTGATTGCAACAAATAAATGATATCTCACTTCATTAGCTCTGTTTTGGATAGCATTCCGTTGTGGTCCTCATCTAACCTGAAATATATTTATTAAATAATTGAACACTTAATGCAATCAATCAATTGTTACCTCAAATACGAGCTGTAAAGTCGTAAAGTATTGGTGGCGGAGAACCAATTGGCCTCTTCTCGGGTTTTGTTCAGATCTTCGTCTCTAAGCTATCATTGAAAACATTGGTTACAATTAATATTACAATAACAATATTTAATTGTATTAACAAATCAGTGACTATTACTTCTAGTAAGTCGTCGAGAAAACCGGAGCCCAAAATGTCGACGATTTTGATTTTGTTGTGTTTGTGTGGATCTAAGAAGAAGAAGAACTTACGGACGGCTATACAGATGTAAAACGGATGAAATGCTTTGTCCAATGAATCCAACTTTGCATTCATTTAGTGGTTAATTAATTATCATTAGTTATTAATCAAATATTTAAAGCATATTTAAAATCCACTTACTTGAGATAGAGTTGGAATCAATTCTTGTATATAATTCTCCAAATCCTATCAATTATAACAAATGGTTATACATATAGATAGAGGAGGAATGACTGACCGTCTCCTTAAGGAATCCCTGGCCTGTAATCAAATGATACAAACAATTAAATCACAAATTATTTCAAATGAATGTTTCGCTCAAACCTGTGATGTCATACAAGGAGAGGGCGATCCGAGTCTGTCTTAACCACACTTTTCTCATCACATAATTAAAGAAATTTAAAATTGAAATCTTTTTATTCGGATCGTTGTCTTGAAGTTTGGCAAAAACAGTGGCCGTAAAGTACTCTCTGTTGGAATCAAATCAAAACACATTTTACTTATTAAACTAAAAGTTGGGTTCAGTTTGAAGACAAACTTTGCTTTAGATTTGGGATCAAGTAATCCACGAATCCTTTTATACTCCAAGTAATCGATTCGTTGTTTTTCATAGCTCTCTGATGTCTGCGAACATGACTTCTCTAATAACACCCATAATTGCTGTCCAAATCATAGATAAGATCAACACGTGTTGAATATATTGTACACAATTGATCCAAACCTGTAATTCTTCGTTTTCGATGATATTTTTGCTCATATTTTGCAAAAACATTGCACTGAAAGAGAAATGAATGCATAA